ACATAATTTTTTGTAGAAAACTAGGCACGGTGCTGTTCTGAGAGGTGATTTTTGGACTTTCTGTGAAACCTAATTTTTTTTTATATTCTTGTTAATTAGGTCATAACTAAAATTTTAAGAGCAAAATAAAAAAAATTTGACGGTTAATTTTTTTTTAATTGGATGTTTATTAAAAATATGTATGCACACTTTCAATTCTTCAATTAAAACTTGCGATTTTATTTAAATATTATTATAACTTTTTAAATCAGATTAAAGATAACTTAATTTCGTAAAAAAAGGTCTATACATTTTTTATATCTTTTACTGTTTTGTTGTAATACATTTATTAAACAATAATTCTAAGGGTGCCACATTTTATTTAGGGCCGATTTATTCATTTTTGATTTATTTGACGAATAATTTCTTTGGATACTAGATATTGCCAAGACATGAAAGTTATCGGCCCGATAAACTTTACTAAAGATGAATAAACCGGTCCTTAGTTAAATTTCATGAATTTCTTCGTAACTTTTACTACAATTTTTCATTTTTGTTTATAAAAAACACTTTAAAAAACTAAACAAAAATTATAGAATACGTATACTGAAAATGACAATTCAAACATCAAATAAATTTTTAATAGATCTAAGTTTCATGGCAACCTTTAAGGATATATTAATTAAGGGAACATAAATGTATACGTCAAAGGTTAGATTAAAAGTTTGAACGTTTATTGCAACAAAACAGTAAAATATATAAAACAAATTGTAAAAACCTTTTTTTTAGTTATGCAAATATTAAACATTTAAATTAAATCGCTAGTTTTAATTGAATAATTGAAAGAGTGCATAATATTTTTAATAAACAGCCAATTAAAACAATTCAAACCGTCAAATTTTTTTTATTTTGCTCTTAAAATTTTAGTTATGACCTAATTAACAAGAATATAAAAAAAAATTTAGTTTCACAGAAAGTCAAAAAATCACCTCTCAGAACAGCACCGTGTAGGGTTTGTAAAGGAAAATATTTTACCGAAAGTTTTGTAAAGGTAATTTGCAATTTTGGAATCATTTTGTTAATTTCAAACGTTTTAGATTATTTTGTTTCTGTTTAACAAATTATTTCGTTGAAAAAGTACACGTGATATCAGGCAGTCAATCAAAACATTTCCCACTGACAATACGCATCAACAAGTTCAGCTGAAGTCATTTGAATATTTTTTTACTGTGTAGATTACACGACGAGTTTATTTCCACCCAAACCATTAAGCTATCTATAGATAGCACCAAAAGTGTGTTTAAAATTTCAGCTCACCAGAGTATAATCAATATTAAAAATGGCCGCCGCTTCCTAGATTTGTGGACATACAAGAAAATCTGATATTTATAAAGAGTGTTTGCGGTTTGACCCCACTTTTACAGTTTCTCCTTAACCAGTTTAAATAATAAAATGAGTTCGTTGTTAATTTATTCGATATTGTTATCACATTAGATCAGATATTTTGTTTTGAAAGCCTTCACTTTCACTAGTAGTTGCTTTGCGGTCGAGATTTAATTATAGTCGGTACAGAAATGTTGCAACCGTATTATAAATTGCAGTAACGTATTAAATTCCCTTCACCCCTGTACAACAAGTTCCTGCAACGCTGCGTTATCTATTTATCTATTTAAATATTCCAACCATAAATGGGTTAGGATAGAAGGACTAAATGGCATTGTAAATGTCGAGGGTCAGGATCAATTACCATAATAATTATTTTTATACAGTAACCGGCAAAAATATGAAACAAATTCACTACTAGATGTAAAAACTTTTAGTTAAGCGTTCAGTGAAGTATCTGTATCGTACTCCAAATATTTCGAAGTATTTAAATATGGGCCATTTCACGGAAACACAGAGAATTGAAGTTTTAATTGTCATAGGATGTAGCAATAAACCTAGAACACAAAAAGAAGTTTGCAATTTATATAATGCAAAGTATCAAGCTTGACCTGTTACTCGTGCTACGGTTAGTAAAATTAAAGGGAAATTCAGAGAATCTGGACATGTCAAAGATATTCCAAAACATGGCCGACCGAGTATTAGTAAAGGCAATAAAATTGTCATTTTGTTACGTGTGGAAGAAGATCCTCACAGTGCTTCTAGCCTAGTCGCAGAAGAAAGTTAAGTCAGCCAACGCTCAGTATTATGTCTTATAAAGAAAAAAAAGTATCATCCATGCAAAATTAGACTAGCAGGTACTTAACGAAGATGATCCGGACCGTAGACTACAATTTTGTGAAACTATGATGAATTTATGTAACAATAATCCACACTTTCCTCGTAAAATACTTTTTTCGGACGATGCTCCCTTCTGTTTGATTGGTATAGTCAACCATCAAAATTGTACGTACTGAAGCAGAGAAAATCGGGCAAAAAGTAAATGTCTGGGCAGGAATATTCTTTGACGAGAATATTACAGGACAATTGTATTTGGAATTTTTGCAAAACTCTCTTCTCCCCACATTAGCAGAAATATTTACCAATGAGAATGGAGGTCCCGATCTACCAAGTGATACCATTTGGTTTCAACAGGACGGGGTACCTACGCACTATGCGCGTCCTGTCCGTACTTTCTTGTACACATGTTTTCCTGAGAGGTGGATTGGCAGACGAGGACCGATAGAGTGGCCAGCGAGATCTCCAGATCTCACACGTCTAGATTATTTCTTATGGGTCTACCTTAAATCAAATCAACAGACCACAAAATTTAGAAGACTTGAAAAATCAAAAAGGCTTGCTTACTGTCAAGAAACCAACGGAGAGCAATTCGAAAATTTAATTGGTTAATGTATTCATTAAAAGCATTTTCAAAATAATTTTCATAAAGATAAAAAATATTTTTTTGGAAATAAAAAATTTTAAATCACGAACTTTTAAATTTAATAATACCCAAAACTATCATCAAAAAGCCGGTCACTGTAGGTGTTTCATTAATATTGCAAAAAAATCAGGATGAGATTATTTGCTTAAAAATTTAGACCTTATAAAAAAACAAGACAAATCCCTGCACAAGCGAAATAATGCTCTGCACAATAGTTTGTCCCAAACAAATATCCTTAATTTACGACAACGAATCTTAAACTATAATTCCCATAAATTAAACAAACCATAGTTTACGATTCCGCATATTTCTTAAAGAGCTTCATTATAATTGTTTTCTATCTCCGTCTTTCCTTCCGTGTACTTTCTAAATTATTTGGATTGTTGGGAATTTTTTAACTTACCTTTTGTTTAAATACCTACAGGCTTTAAATTTGGTACAAATATTATAATATACTTTCTTCCTTTATACTATAGATATTGATTTTGTCATTCCACATACCACAATTCTAAAACAACATCACCTTTTTGCATGTCTCGCATAACAGCACCAGTACTTCCTATTAACCTAGTAAAAGTGGCAACGCCGCGCGCTTTAAGAGCGCTTAAGTCATAACTGCGTGCCCAGGTGCGCCGGCCCCCCTTTTTGCCCCCTCCTTTCCCCTCCCCCGCCAATGCCGCGCCGTCTAAGATCAAACTCGTTCTTAACCAAGTCAAGCTGAGAAAAATTATGGATACGATTTAGGTACTTGACATTTACCAAAAAGTCAAGTTAAATGTTTGGAAATAATAATGCGAAACTTTATAAGGTTACCAGTTTTTTTTTTAATTTTGGATATGCGCTCTTTAATACACACAACCAATCTTCAATCACCCAGTAATTACGAGAAACAGTGTTTTACTTAAAAAAAGTGAATTTAAAATAAAAATCACCTTACCCTATATATTTCTGAGAATAAACTTTACGGTAAATTAGAATTTAAGAAGAAATAATAGGTTTTTGTTAATTAAATAATCAGTACTGCCACCTCTAGCATCAATGCAAGCATTAATTCGACGAGGCATGCTTTTTATTAAGTTATGAATTTCTTCTTGGGAAACATTTCCTCACCCCTCTAAAACTGCTTTTATTAGTTTTTCTGCATTGCCAGGTCTATTTTGACAACCTATAATCCTTCTTTTAACCTTATTCCACAAGTGCTCAGTTCGATTAGGATCCGGTAAACAAGAGGGCCAACCTAAAACAGCCACACCTTCCATTTCCAAACAATTTCTAGCAACTCTGCTGGTAAATGGAGGTGCATTATCCTGTATAAATCATGGAAAGCACCTTTTCAGAGCCTTACTACGGGTTGTACAACTAAATCCACATACCTTGGACCTCTTAGGGATTGTCTAATGGGAATCAAAGGAATGTTTTCACCAATCATAAAGCCTTCCTTCTTTGCATTGAGGGATCGATCGTCCAGCTTAAAATCTAGCTTGTTTCCCACGACATCAAAATACAAATTCACCGCCGGTGAATCACCGGTAGTCTGATCGTAGGCCAATTCTAGATTTATCCGAAAATAAGACATTTTTCTTATCTTCATTTGTCCAGTTTTAATGCTTCAAATGCCAATTTAAATGGCCAAAACTAATTTTCACTAATGTTTTTGGAACCTTCAACAAAAAAGAAATAAATAAAAATCATTTTTATCAAAAATAATATATGAATCCTTTAAGTACTTTTTGATGGAGAAAATAGCTTTGAAGTCTGCTAGGGTCCTCACTGAACCAAAAAACACCATCAAGACCATGGAAATAGCTGCAGCATTCTCGGTTTTTTCATTAGTGTGTGACATATACAACTATATAACTATACAAGTATATGGTTATCTAGTTAATATTTAAAATGGTTTCAATGAGCAACAGATCAATTAAGGCAGTTGAAGTACTTTGTACGCAGGTACCACTCATTAGCTTAAGTACCGTACCCAAATATGTACATATTAAACGTCGACAAACCCGATAACCAAAACACTCATTCTCATTGCAATCAGCAGGTAGTAGTGGTACCACCCCGGTGCCAAAACCACCTGGCAACGCGGTACCGCCGAATAAACTCGAAAACTAAGGCGACCTAGATTTTTACAACAATCCATTCACTGCATTAACGGGAAAGCGCGAAATTCGTTCGTCTGTTGTTTCAGTTTCACTCGAAGCAGGCAGTGCTCAGTCTACCAATGAACTTCGTCGATGCGCGACAGCACTCTTGATAATTCTACGCCGAAGTTAAATTTGAAGACGCGACTTAACGGAACCTTGCTGGGCGTTTTTTTGAAAACAGTTTTCGGCAATTGTCAGTGGAAAACTTTTAGTTTTGTGGTTTTAATTGTGCGGGGATTTTATTTTAGTATACCTCTGTGAGTGAATTTAATGTGGTTCCTTCACATTGATTGATGATGGTGTATTAAACGGTACTTTTTTTCATTTGCTTTAGTTGTTCAGGATTTATGTTATTTTTATTGAATTTATTAGATTTACTGTAGAGGAATTTTTTAACTGGTACTTTTGTTATTTAGTACCGTTCTCATTTTAATTGAAGTACCTACAAATCGCAATGATAAAATTGTTCGTGTTTTGCTTTGCTAATGATTTTTAACTTATTTTAAATTATGGATTTTTTTGGTAATTATATTTAATAAAACATTCCAGAAATTACAATATTTTTTGTTTTGACATTCTGACAAAATTACATTACAAGAATCATGACAACTTTGCTCAAATATTTAACTGCACTTACGAATTTTGATTGTAATAAAAAAATCAATGTTTAGGTGATTCTACTAATTAATGTTTTTTGATAATTAAAATTTGATTACATTTTATCATATTAATTAACATAAAATACAATAAAAATCATTAACACAATATTACTTAAACCCACAAATAAACAAATATATTAATACAAATTAAGCATAATAATTAACATTAGCAATACAGCTGACTATACTAATTTTTTTATTTTTAAAACCGACATGCAAATATTAAAATTTGTATTTATGTTGATAATTAAATACTTTAACCAAGGATAAGTGGGTTCTTTAGCGTCACCTTCTTTTTGAATTTTTCGTCAGAGCATCGACCCAATTTATTAAACATTTTGTCTAAAACTTACAGTAGGTATTCAAGAAAAAAACCAGTAAATAATAGTATTTGACTTCATAGTACCCAGAAATACACACATAAATAAAAATTGTTATCAAATAATTAACACTTCTATTTCTTAATACTGTCTTACAACAATAGTATATTTCATTTATCGGGAATAACCCGTGTTAGTAAATAAGATTTCTGCTTGGGGAAATACTGAATTCGAATAAATAAAATTACACGAAGTACTTGGAAAATAAGTTTTTAAAATAATTATTGTATATTTTTGTTACTATTAATATTAATGAAAGTTTGTTTATCACATATCCCTAATTGGTATTTATTGAGTTGTTATTTTTATCTAGAAATGTTTGTAATTCTGGTCACTTTTTCTACTCCCATAAAACGTCCATTATCGTACATGTTTCCAAGTGATCTTTTAAATACACATTGACAACGCTTTAGTCACGGGCAGCATTAAGTTATTTGACAATTGTCAAATGTGATACAATTTAAATAAAATGCCCATCTTGTGAAATAATACTAAATGTAAAAATTATTGTATTATCTTAATAGTATTAAGTTAATACACAAATACCAAAGTATTAAATTGTTTCTCAATATTTAAAGACTCCACAATAAAACATTATCTTTACTTGCACTGTAAAAAACTGCTTTTTATCGTATTTAAACGGTTTTTGGTCCATTTTCAAGGAATAAATAGATTCCCATTATCACGGTTACTCCATTTTTGTATAAATTTGTATACAACTTTAATTTAAATCATTTTTAAATAATAATAAGTATATTTCGTAGAAAAACTGGTTTATAAACTTTTCCAGACACTCATTTAATATGCACTCGCTCGCAAGCTCGCTCGTGACCAAATTAAATTCGTGACTAAAATGGCCTTTATAAATTTAGTTACTACCCGTAAATAAGAAAGTTAAATCTACTTAAAAAATATATCTATGAGCTATAAAGAAGTATTCACATTAAAATATAATTATTTTGTGCTTAAAGCCAACCAGACTTAATTATATAAACTTAACAGTTAAAATCGTTTTGGCATGAATATTTTGTCTCAATCGACTGTATGTTAATTGGTACTTAAATTATGAAAAGAAAGAGGATAAAAATTAATTAGCAAGTATTACAAGAAATAGAAATAAGTAAATAGCACAATAAATAAACTACTCAAAACGAATTAAGGATCACTTTTTAAAATACCTGTATCTTTTTTACTTTTAAAGCAATCCTCGTATAAATTTTCACACCTTTAGTAGAAATGCGATTTATTTAAGGCTTTATTTTAACATTTATTATAATACATATCTTAGTTGCTGCTGTGCACTATGATTAAATCAATCATTAATTACCATGAATATTGATGCTTTAGAAAGGGCTCTTCATCAAAGAAGGAATTTAAATCAAGTTGAAGTAGTGATAGCGGTTACTTTATTTCAAGAAGGAGAATCTGTTAGAAGTATTGCCCGAAGACTTCAAACAAGTCATTCGGTAATTTCTTGACTTCTTAACAGGCATAGAGAATTTGGTTTTATTATTAGGAGACCTTATCCGGCAAGAGAACGACTCACAACTCCACGTGAGAACCGTAATTTGGTAAAGTTAGCCACCCAAAACCGATTAAAATTTGCTCGAATTCATATCAATTGGGAAATGGATCAGTGGGGACACGTCCTCTTTTCAGATGAGTCTAGATTTCGACTTAGCCACAACGATGCACGTATACGAGCCTGGAGACGTAGAGGTGAGCGATATTTAGATTCAACTGTAACAGAAACTGTTCATTTTGGAGGTGGCTTAATTATGATGAATTACTCCTCAGGAGTCATAACTTTAACGGGACGTACAGGTTTGCATCTCTTTCGGGATGGTGTGGTAAATGCTCATAGGTATTTGGAAGATATTGTAGAACCCTATATAGTCCCATTTGCAGTGGAAGAAGGTCCACAGTTTATTCTACAGCCACACAATGCGAGACCACACACTGCTCGTATTATCACAATATCTTGAAGATAATAATATCGAGATTTTAGAGTGGCCTGCAAACTCCCCAGATTTAAATCCTATTGAGCATCTCTGGGATATTCTTTAGAGAAGGATGAGAGTTCGTCCGGCCCCGGAAAGTTTGAATCAACTGGGACAAATGCTTCAGAAAGAGTTGAACAATATTCCCAGAGAAATTATTAGAAATTTGGTGGAATCTATGCCTAGACGATGTAAAGAAGCGAGGGGAGGACACACACGTTATTTATTTCGTTTTATAAATTATTTTTAGTGTATTTAAAAAAATTAAAATTGGGGAAAATCTAATTTTTTAGATTTTTAATTTGTTAAGCTTTTATTTTTCATTTGATTTAAGAAATACATATATACCGCATTTAAAACCTTAAATGTTTCCCAAAACTAACACTAGTTAAAAAATAAAAACATAAATATTTATTTAAAAGTTATAAACAATTTTAAAAGTGGTCCTTAATTCGTTTTGAGTAGTTTATTATATTAGTATACGTAAACCATTTTTACAAGTTTAAAAGAATACCTCATATTTTTATGATTTTTTCTGCGTTTTTGTACAGGAAAATTCTACAAACTTCCACTGAAATTTTGAAAGCCAGTAAAACAGATTCCTAACACCAATTTTTGCTTTTGTATAGATGTCGCCCTATGGAAGTATTTAAATTAATTACTAGGTATTCAATTACTTTTAATAATATTAAATTATAAGGTTCACTGCATATACCTATTTTTAGGTCGAAATCACAAAAATAAATAAAATTAAGGTTCATCAAAATGTTAAATTTATGTGGAATTAACAAGTTTACTGGGGTAAAAATTGAGTTCTGATAAAATTACTTGACAAACTCGTCAGAGGAATATTAAATCGCGAGCTGCGTATACAAAAAAATTACGAAAAAAATTGTTAAATTTTAAACGGATGTTGGTTTGTAATTATGTTTAACAAGTGATTGACATATTTTTAGCGATAAAACAGCGTTTTTAGAAATATTAACTGTGACGCCTCATAAAATTACTTTACTAAGAACAAATTAATTTAACAAAACGGATTATTATGCAATTTTTAATTCTTGAAGAAAAAATTGTTTAAACATTGTTTAAAAAAATTATCAAATTAATAAATTTGTTGATAAAAATATTTTGCTTGCTTACTCAATGCACGTAATCGAAATACAAATAATACACTATTATTTTCGATAAAATTGCTACTGTCTAAATATAAACATAAAAAGTTGATAAAAAATGCACTTGTTTAATCATTATTAGAAAATAATCGCGGGGTCATTACGTACATATAAACCAAAAAATAATCATTGCATAATAAGTTTTATTTAATACTTATTTTTTTTGCTAATAGGATAACATTTTATACGTTGAGCGATTTTGAATGTTACAAAATTTTATTTGATCAGTTTACCTTGTCGAGATCTCTGACCTTGAACTTAACCTTAAATTATTTAATGTAAATATGTATGTACTATACTATAATATAAATTTAACAATCAATATATAATTTTTTTACATGCGTATCCGGTCTTTAGACTTAATTTTCAATCTATATACAAAATCGAGAAAGAATATAAATAAATCGAAGGTTGTTTTTCTGTTCTGTAAGTTCAACCAATCAAAGTATTTGGAATAAAGAATTTAGTCCATAAATATCTGTACCTTAAAGATTTTCATTAATTATGGAACAAAATATCAAGTACACCCTGTATTATTGGTATGATTTTTTTTGTTAGCTGCAGATATCTTTTAACAATGCTGTTTAAAATATTTGTTCAAAATTGTTCTAATTATAATATTTAAATAATAATACACTGTATCATGTCATTTATGCCTTGTATTTTTGGAATTTAAAACCTTGTGGAAATCAGTTTTATCGATTAGGCCAAAACGTAAACAATTTTAATTTTACCAACACGAAAATTTAGTTCATATGTAAAATTCATATTTTATTTTAATATCACGCTTTGATAATTTTTTATTGTTGTTACAAATGTATGCATATTATATAAAAGGCTGTTCTAATAGATTATTTCTATTGTTAAAGGCTGGCAAGTGTAAAGTATGCGATCTTTAGAGATGACTGCGACATGGCATGAAGAAGAAGAGGATGTAGAAGTCGAAGAAATGGAGTTAAGAAAACATAATAATGGAAATAACGGGGAGGGGGGTAGAGACGATCTCACAGAATCCAGTAGTGATGAAGCCACTGGCAAAAAAAGGAGGAAACATGGAGGTAAATATAAATTTTACATATTCCAAAGATAATTTATTTTATTTATTTATTTTAAGTAATTGTTTTTTACGCAAAATAAGGTTTTTCTGGGAACCTATAGTTTTTATATTCCATATGATTTTTATTTTGTTTAATATAAATTAAATCACCCATATTATTATTATTATTAATAATAATAATAATATGGGTGATTCTACAAAAGTTGGACAACTTGATGTCATCAGTCAATAGAGTACCTACTACTACTACTACTACTACTAATACCTATTTTAATATATTTTGTAAATATTTTAGTATATTACAAAAGATCCAGGTTTTTTTAACTTGTCCACCCAATTTTAATGTATTTTTTCAAAAGCACGTTGGTAGAAAAACATAATAAATATTCAAAAAATCAGTACCTTGGCGTGTCACAACTCCTGAATCAAATATTTAAGTGATTTTATTTTAAAATATATTCAATTTATCTTAAATTTTTCAATTTTACTACAAACTATAAAACATTAAATAATGTATTCTTTATATTTTATCATAGATTCGAATAATAGCAATTTTAAAAAAAATGATAATCTTTGTACTCACTTTTACCCGTCAGTTCTATGTCCAATGTTAAAATTCAAAATTCCTGCGAAATATTGAAGTTTAAACGCCAAGTCCTCGTTTTAACTCAAGTGTTGGTAAAAAATTACCTACAGATCCCGCCCTTTGCAAGACATTCATCTTGAAAACAATGCAAGCGGCGAAGTTGTGGTGAATGCACATATAGTTCTAGTCAAAATTTCAGTACTGTGGTGAGTAGTTATTTTCTTACGTATATATATTTCATTGTAATTTATATAAGGCTATATGTAATTTGTTGATAAGTAGCATCCACTAATAAAAATATCAGTGAAATACTTAATTCCGAATTATAATCTCAAATTTGTATCCCATTCATCAGTACCGTGTCGTCAGTTCCTTGTTCGATTTTTCGGTTATCTTTTTTTCGCAAAGTTCAATTTAAATTCTGCTTGCGCAGAACTTGTTTATTTAATGTCATTATAAACTCATATAAATTTGGTGTGGGTCCCATATCCAAGAATTGAGATATCGGTATACCCAAAATCCACCAGCCGCCACTAATGTGTGGTATTATTTCATTTTAAGATATTTAATGTATGCTCAAAGTTGTAATAAATCTTATATTTTCCAATTATATATTTAATTAGTACCATGGTACCGTCACTTCCCTTGTATTCAAATTTAGAAAACACAGATATTTCAGAAACTGTTTGAAAAAGTGACTGGCCCGGTCTGGAACAGTATATTTATTATATTATCTATGTTCTCTTAACAAAATACTTTTTAATTTTCTCCGAAAACTATACAAACAAAATAAGGTCAAAAGTTGACCAACTTTTGTAGAATCACCCATATGCATTTTATGCATGTCTAGGATTTTTACTAAGCAATATTTTAAAATTTATATTATCAATATATAAGTATTATATTAACATAAAAAACTAAAATTAAAAAAAAATAACTGTTCTTATTTATTTTAGGAAGTGCATCAAGCGGAAGCGCTTCCAGTGGCGTAACAATACGACGGCGGAAAACATGCATAAGTGCGAGGGAGAGAAACTTACGAAGACTGGAAAGCAACGAGAGAGAACGGATGAGGATGCATTCGCTTAATGATGCATTTGAGGTAACTATCTTGTTTTATTTTTTTTTGACCAAATTTGATATTTTACTTTTAACCCCATTTAAAGTTTTATTCGTACACCACTGACCACTGACATTGTTTGATAGGGATGAATTTTATTATTTGAAAACATTCAAGCAACTGAAAAACATCTTAACATTGCATTTTTATCATTACTACAAAACAATACATTCCTACTTCAATTATTTTTAATAGGACCTTTTCACAAAAATAATTAAATCTTAACCCTCATTGTTATAACATTTTGTAGCCACCCTTGACAAATAATTACAACTCTACAAGACTATATTTTACTTTATTTTATTTACTAGTTATTTCTTGTATTTTAAAATTTTTATTATCTTCCAATATATGCCCTAAAACTATCGATCTTAATATTTAAACAAAAATTACTTTTAGCAACTAAGAGAGGTCATTCCACACATTAAAATGGAGAGAAAACTGTCAAAAATCGAAACGCTAACGTTAGCAAAAAATTACATTATGGCCCTTACAAATGTTATATGTGAAATGAGGGGCGAGGAGAAGCATTACACGTAAGTTAATCCCGTATTAAACACCACCCCTAAAACACACTTGTGGACTACCCCGCATTAAAAAGTCTAGGGTAGTTAAATCTGGAGATCTGGCGGCCATTTTAAAGCTTCACTTCTTCCAACCCATTGTACAAAAACTCCAAAAGGAATTTTCCATTCAGATGCCTATCCGGATGGTGTTTATACCACTGGGCATTAAAGGGTTAAATATTTTATAAAGCATAAGTATTTAACCTGGCATAAAATTTACAATGTGTTTTTTTTTCTACACCGAAGGAAAAATAATTAATTTTTATTATTCAACACAAATAACTCTTATATTCATTACTTGGTGACAAAAAATAAAATTCAATATTTTTCCTTCAGTTTCCAAGATGTCGAGAGCAACAGCGACGTCGAGCTAGAAACAGAGGAACAACAGACAAATCCGACAACAGCGCGGGAACAAAACAACAACAACATGTACCAGCAAAATCTAGAGTCCCATCCCGAAAACACCATGGTGAACTCCCGCTAAAAAGTGCACGAAAGTTATGTGATTGTTAAACATCTAAGGGATGCCCCAAGAAGAATTAATGAGTAAATTTATTGGGACACCCTTTATAAAGACATTAAATTTAACAAAGAATTAAAAAATGTGAAGAAACTTTTTAAATATTAATTATTATTACTGTCTATATATGCCAAACATCTCAATTACTATATCGTATATACCTACTATTCTACATTCCACTAGTTAAGAAAATTTATTGTAAAAATATTGTATATATATACAATGTATATTAAACATACCTATATAGTATATAACATAAAAAGTCGTTCAGAATATAGTAATATAAATGATCATGATTTGACATTTGAAACTTGTCACCATTAGTCTAGACCTTATTGTGTATTCTGAATGACTTTTTTTACATGTGCATATCCACAGCCTAAATCTGGCTCATGTCTGATTATTTTTTGTTTAACTATTAATATGCTATTGTGATTTTTTTGTGCTTCCCTTTTTAATATTAATGATATACAAGGTGGTTCAAAACTTTCCGTTTGGAACACCCTATATATTTTATATTTTTGTAAATAAGATTTACTTAATTTTTTTTATGGTTGTATAATTTATGTAGGTATTTAAGTACCGTAGGTATTTAAGTACGCGTATTTAGTTTGTAAGGATTTGGAGATTATAAATATGTTCGAAATCTCAGATTTGGAATGTACCATATTTACTGCTTATGACAATTTTAAGATTACAAAAAACACAATAAAAACATATTTTGCATTGTTTTAGTGCAAACTTCCTGTATTTATTTATTGAAAAAAACGTGTTTTTTTAATCTACGTCAAAAACATTAGGTATAATATGAAAATACATAAACTGTATTTTTTAGTGTTTAGCAAAATGTGGACATATTACTAAAAGTTACCTAAAAGGGTATCTTGAAATACTCTCTCTATATATACAGGGTGAATCAAAACAACTTAAAATGTTTGCGAATATTGAGGTTATTTTGCTACACCTTTTATAAATGTATGCTCAACCCTACTTTTTTGTTTTTTCGTAAAAAATTCGTCAATTTATCGACCATTTCCCAACAATAGATATTTTCGTTCGAATTTTTTATTTAAATACAAATCATTTGAAGCATAAGTTCCAAATGTAAAATGTGATATTGTAGAGAAAACTTGTCAAAAGTTTTTGTTTTAGTTTAAAAAATATTATGAAGAAAAAATTTATGTATATGATATATTTTATGAAAATGTTTTAAGTGTTATTCTTATAAAGATATATATGTAAACGAATATATTATAAAAATTAGATATATTATATCAAATCAAATGTAAAAATTATAAATTATATTGGTGTATATCAAAAATAGTTTTAATTTTTAACCCAAAATTTTTTTTATATTTTTGAAATTAAAAATTTACGGTATTCAAACAGAAGACAAAAATTTAATGTCTTAAATAACCAAAGAAATTAAAATTGCCTTCGACTTATTGGAAACAAGGTAAAAGTTTTTGCATATTTATTAAATAATTACGGTGTATTTTTTTTTGACGCCAAAGATGAAATTCTAGAAAAAGTAAAAGGCGTTGACGCTAATTTTTGGGGATCACAACTACCAATTATTAAGAAGTATTGGACAACGCTGGTTAAAACATTTAGTATCAAAAATACAGGACACTCAATCCAAAACAATACATTTTATAGGTTCTCAGATAAAAACCATTGGTGTCCGCTGGATTCAATCACATTGATATAGGAGAGCTGAAAAGCAGGGAAATCAAATTGGGGAATACCCCAGAAGTTTTGAATGATGATGTTGCAGATGTGGCTGTTCTTTTAGCTTTAGGAGCTTCTACAAGATTTCAAGAGAGAAGATTGAAAATAGAGAAGTAGTTTTTTTCTTGCACAATTTTATTATTTTAAATTATATTACTTTAAGCAACGAATGGAACTCCCATACCCAATGGATGCTGGGCCAGGACATTTTAGGCTCAAATATATCTACACAGGCCATAAGGAGAAACCGGAGGCCAAAACTCTGGGAGCTCATTTCGTAGACTTGGAAACATTGAATAAGGAGAGCGATTTTATTATTATGGTTTGCCCGTCGAACGATGAAACAAGAGGAATGATTAACGATGATTTATTTAGTAAGACCAAGAAGACTGCAGTTCTGGTGAATATTAGTAGGGGTGACGTTGTTAACCAAGAAGCAAAGGCTTTAAAGAAAGAAAGGCTTTTTGCCGCTGGGTTGGATGTAATGACTCCTGATCCTCTTCCCTCTAACCATGAACTTCTTAAGATGCCGAATGTTGGTAAGTATCTGACAGTATAAAGAAATACTTTTGATTTGATTATACAAAACGTATTTAAGAGAAATTGAGTCTTTAAGCCGCCATTTCTTTTTTTTTAGTTCTTAATAACTTCTTAATAGCTGTCAGCTCCGCCATTGCATCTCTGCATAAGAACTTCTTATGCATCTAGGTAGAGACCAGAGATGCAATGGCGGAGCTGACAGCTCTAAATATACTGAGGGGATTGGTTTGTTATTTATAAAATAAATATTAATTGGGTGTTTTATTATTATTTGCTGTATTATCTAATAAAAATTTCCATTTTTAAAGTATGTGGTTGAGTTTATCGCAATTCTAATATTACTATATTGCATAACAAGGGTAAAACACAATGAATGCATTTATTGCCTTTCTGGCCTTGCTAGGCATGCTTTTTTAAATCAAAAGATATGGAATTCACAAATTAAAACAACAACAAACGATACCATTTTGACAATTAAGTAGTTTTTGTAGGTTAGAGTAGAACTCTTAGTTGGCTGCAATGGGCATAAATAACCACGCACCTGTACTTAAAATTGGAATTAAAAGTTTTGGAATTTTAATTCTTTTAATTGAAAAAAAGATAAGTTTAAATTTTATTTATTTTATTAAAATAAGTTAATTTAAATAAATATTTGTATCTACAAATTAACAGGTGTGATCATATTTTCCCCTCCAAGACCCCTCAACATATTATGAGCGGTTAATTCCGCCATTTGTTCCCTAGTTTTCTTTGTAGCACTTCCAATATGAGGTGTCAAAACTAAAAAAAACATTTTTTTTATTATCTTACCCTTAAAAATATTTTGATGACAAGTTTGGTAACAAAATTGCATAATTTTATTTTGATACACACCAACGTTTGATAATTTCAAAAGTTCACTATCTGATGGCAAAGGCTCTGGGGTCATAACGTCCAATCCAGCTGCAAATATTTTACCACTTTTCAGTGCTTCTATAAGATCTTGTTGCTCCACTATATCTCCTCTAGCTATGTTCACCAAAACCGCGGCTTTTTTGACCTTGCCAAAAAAGTCTTTGTTAATCATTCCTTTAGTTTCATTATTCAAAGGGCACGAGATAAAAATAAAGTCTGCTTCTTTGTTTAGAGTTTCTAGATTTACCAATTTTGCCTTGAGGGATTTAGCTATAATAGACAAACACATTAAAATAAATGATTTTTTCATTCCCTGATGTTAGTGTACCTTCTGGTTTCTCCGTATGTCCAGTATACAAAAACTGTGACACTTCAAAAGGGACCAGCCTTTTTGCTATGGCCTGACCAATTTCCCCTAAACCAATTATACCAACAGTCGAACCCGAAATATCAACCCCTAATCTAGGTTGTAGACCAGTTTTCCAATTTCCACTAAAAATTAAAAAGTTAATATACAGGATGGCATTTTATCAAAATATGCAACTTTTTAACTCTTCTTATTGTTGCTTCCTTCCTAAAAAAATCATTGCCCCTCAAAATATAAAAATCTACCTTTCTATATCTTCTCTTCCCTCATGTAACCTTCTTGAAGCTGCCAAAGCCAATAAAACAGCTGTATCAGCAACTGCTGCATTTAAAACACCAGGAGTATTGGCAAATTTGATTCCTTTCAGTTTTAGTGTTTTGGTATCAATGTGATCGTATCCTGCTGACATTGTGCAAACTGTGGTCAAATTCAGACCTAAAAATAAATTTTAAAAATAGTTTCAGATTCAGAAAATGTCAAACATCATGAAAGTAATTACCAGCTGCATCTATTATTTCTTCATCCAGATGGGTTTTGGTGGCCCAAAATATTCCATGGACTCCCTGAACTTTTGATAGGATATGGTTTTTTGATTCTTTTTTGATTAAAATTAATTCACATCTTAAAGAAATTTCAGCGTTTTTTCAAAATAACATTGTTTATACTTACTTTGATTTAAGGAGTTCTAAAACACTTTCTGGGACAACCGTACTTGCTATAAGAATTTTAGGCTTTTCTTTATCCCAAGAAAGCTTGCCGGCCAAAATATTATCTGAAAAAATTATTAAAGCTTTTCTTAGATTCAATCAATTTTTTTTACATTTTTCAGGATCCATCATAATAAGGTTGTGCACAATTTTGAAAAATTCAGATTTGTTATTTACTGAGTTCACCTTTATCTATAAGTGTAGTGGTAACGTTATATAAATTAGTTTTTATTTTTATTAAAAAACGATATCACTAGATAAAGGTTTTTATCTAGTTATCTACTCAGTAAATAACAAATCAAATAAATTGGTTTCAAATTTGAGCTCATCTATATTATGATAGATTATAAAAATTTACAAAAAGACTGCTATTCATGCTGATTAGTTTTTATATTTAAATAATATTGTTTGTTTACCAAGATGGTTAACACAACGGCTGAACGTGTTGAAATTATTTTTATTTATGGTTCACAAAATCGTTGTGCTCTACGAACTGCAGTGGCATTTAATAAACTATACCCTGGCAAAAATGTGCTTCATAAATATGTTCAAGAGCTGGTTGCAAAATTTTGACAAACAGGATCTGTTTGCAATCAAAAAAGAAACCAACCTAGGATACTCAATGAAGCCACCCATATTAAGGTTCTTGGTCAGTTTGGTGTAGATCATACAATATCACTACGTTCGCCATCTTGATTAACAAGGCTTTGCCCTGAGTCTGTTAGGAAGGTGTTAAAACATCACAAATTCCACCCATTCAAAATGCTTATTACATGTGTGCACACGAACTTGGCGATGATGATGCAGGCGTTTAGAATTTTGTGAAATCATGACCAATAAAATAACAAATCAGATCCAAATACTAAAAAACATTTGCTTTAGCGATGAGTATACTTTTAATCTAAATGGAAATGTTAACAAACAAAATTGTCGTTACTAATTGGAGAAAAAAATCCTCATTTCATCAGAGAAAATCATACCTGAAAAACCTCAAGTCTGGGCAGGAATTTTGGGAGATTGTATTTTTGGTCCCTTATTGGCCAAAATTTGAATGGTCAAATTTATTTTGAAATGTAGATAAAACAATACAGTCACCAATAATAAGTAACTAGAAAATCAAAAAGGAGACGATGATGAACTAGCTTTGGATGAAAATTAATTAAATTTCCAACCAGATGGTGCCCCACCATTATGTAGTAGCTATTAGGGCTTGGCTGATTTAGGACCAATATAATGGCCTACCAGATCTCCAAATCTGACACTTTTTCTTTATGGGATTACTTAAAATCTCTGGTCTACAAAACTCAGCCTCATTCTATTAAAGATCTGCGCCAACGAATAGTTCAAGAATGCCGAGCTATTCCACGACAAACATATCAAAATTTTTAAAGGGAATTTGAGAATAGACAGTAGTCTTACAGTCTGCTTCCAAAATATTGGGAGTCATTTTCAGCATTTAAATTAAAAAGCTAAAAATTAATGTATTTTTATTATTGTTCAACAATTTGTTTATTTATGCTTTTTTAGTTTATTATACTTTTGTTATTATTAAATAAAATTTTTGTGTTCAACAGTTTTTTACTAATGTTTTTACGACAACAAAATTATTTTGCGTATTTTTGAAAAATTAAACTATTAAAAAGTATTTTGTTTAGTACTGTTAAATATCAATTTTCAAGAGCTTTTCAATGAGGTATCACAACGAGGGCATTGCCATTTAAAAAAATTAAGTTAGGGTGGCTACAGCCCCAGGGGTTGCTTAAGAAAAAGTTATTTTAAATGTAAATTATGTAAAATTTATTCATGGGGTATTTTAGACGATCCAGTTGAAGAGATCTTGCAACTCAGAGAGTATGTGGCACTATAGTCTATAGAAGAAGAAAAAACATAATATAATATTTATTGTTTTAAATGTGCATAAAACAAAAACTAAAGAAAATAAAAAAGTCAATTGGCCCCCTATCAAAAAATAGCATAACTAGAGTAGCCAAATTTAGAGAGCGATCTTTGTTTTTAAATCGTTTAAACCAGATAATGGTGACAAAAAAATGCTATACAAATAAAAAATAAAACTAAAAATATTAAACAGTACAAAAAATATATAATTTGATTTTGACTATTATCTTTTTGCCCAAAAATCATTTAATCATTGAAGTATACCTAGTCAGTCTATAAAAAACTGTACATAATAAAATAAAAGTCGTTTTAAAAAAAATAATTCCATTTATATTACTTATTTATTAGGAAAAAAAATATGGACCTATATGATATATTTTATGAAAATGTTTAAAAATCAGATATACTTATTTTTAACCCTGCAAATTTAATATTTTGTAAAATAATAATTTACGGTATTAAAGTGACAGAATATAACGTCCTGAATATTAAAAAAAAAATTGTATTTTACAAATACCTAACCAAAAAAAATTTAACTTAAATTTGGCTCTTTCTAGCACTTCCACGTAAGTGCTATTTTATGAAAATGTTTAAAAATCAGATATACTTATTTTTAACCCTGCAAATTTAATATTTTGTAAAATAATAATTTACGGTATTAAAGTGACAGAATATAACGTCCTGAATATTAAAAAAAAAAATTGTATTTTACAAATACCTACAGTGGCGTAATAAGCACCCCCGCAGACCCCGCACCGCGGGGGGGCCCAGACGGTCAGGGGGCCCAAGGCTCACCTCACTCTTTTAAAAGTTTAAACCAATAAATTAAAGAAATATTTAATTTTTTAAATATTTCATCTTAAAAAAAATAAAAATCCTAAAAACCTAAACGTATTTATACTTATAAGTATTTTTTGTTTAAAATATTTATATAATTCGTTGATTTTGAACATGCGCACGAAATAAAATGCGGTTGTAGCGCCATCTATTAAACGCTTTTCCAAATGTTAATATTTGCTAAATTAACAATGTTATTTGTTATATTTTAATTCTATGTTTATTTGGTTTGAAAGTTATGCAAACATTATTTGTTAAAAATAGTTAAAATTTAACAATTTTTAAAAAATTAAATTAAATGCAATACGACAAAATATTAACTTTATAGAATTACCATGGTGGATAAAGAGGCAACCAAAATTAATTATATATTTTCTGTTTTACTACCAAAAATTGCAGATACAGGCTGTATCTGCAATTTTTGGTACACTGAGAAAAAAATGGGACAAATAAACTGTTTACCTAATACTTTTATTTGTAGTGAATATATTGTTTATTACCTCTAAATAGTCGAAATAATAACGATAAATATACTTTAGTAAAACTTTATATGTCGGGAATAAAAATATATTTAGGATAAATAAACTGTACCCTTGTTCCATATTTAAATATTTTTTTTATTTGGGAGCAATAAACTTTTTTCTCCGTGTAGTGAAACAGAAAATATTTAATTAATTTTAGTTTAAAAAATCTTATTCTATATACCTTTTTATTTGCAGGATCATTTTCGTAATTCTATAATAGGATTATTTTAAAAAAATATTTAAATAATAATTACCCAAATATTTTCTGTTTATATATAATTATAATTCCGTTAACAAACGATAACTACCTACACATGAACTTAAATAAGTTTTTACGCATGAGCGAATTTGCAAAGAAGCATATTTTCGATAAACAGTTTTTATTAAAAACACAGCCATTTTTCTTACCTAATCCTTTTTTATTTGCTTATCTTATGTGACATAAGTTATGCCTGTCTATCGTATACACTCTTTATCTACCTGTCAAAAATTTTAACTAAAAAATATTATGTATTTAATGTGGATTTAAAAGTACTATGATAAACTAATTTAAAAATTACCTGAAGGTAATAATAAACTTTTTACTCATTGTAAAGGGGGCCCATTAAAATCGTTTGCGGGGGAGCCCACTCAGAATTTGTTACGCCACTGAATACCTAACCAAAAAAAATTTAACTTAAATTTGGCTCTTTCTAGCACTTCCACGTATGTGCTTTCTAGATTAGGTGGCCCCATCTAGCTTTTGGAGAGTAAAGTTTAAAAAGTATAAATTAAAATGCTGTAGTTTAACTCATCTATTTTTAAAGTTTTCTGTGATTAAATGACAACTTGAGTTGTCAAAAGATTATTTAGGAATTATGAATATAACCTATAAATAGGTAAATAAATTTATTTATTTATATGTAATTTTTACGACTGACGAGACTTATTTTATTTATGTTAATATTGTAAGTACATTTTTTTAATATTAAATTTATTTGAAAATACAATAATAGTTAAATACATATAGGTATACCCAAAGATAATACCTATTTTTGTAGATAGGTAGGTACATTTTTCTTTATCTGCACATATTTTATATGTGTTTATTTTAAACCGATAGGATTGGAAATTTCAAGGCAAAATAGAAGAAGAAAAAACATAATATAATATTTATTGTTTTAAATGTGCATAAAACAAAAACTAAAGAAAATAAAAAAGTCAATTGGCCCCCTATCAAAAAATAGCATAACTAGAGTAGCCAAATTTAAAGAGCGATCTTTGTTTTTAAATCGTTTAAACCAGATAATGGTGACAAAAAAATGCTATACAAATAAAAAATAAAACTAAAAATATTAACCTCTTAAGTGGCTATGACGTATATATCCGGATTTTAAAGTTTATATTCCAGCGCTTATGACGGATATATTCGCATTGAAATTTTACTTCGAGCATTTAATGGTTATGCCGCATATACTCGCATGCGGTGGTTTACAGTGTAGGGGGGTGCCTATTCGATAGCTTGATGAAAAAATACCACGAAATAGTGTTGGGCGTACGCAGTAACAATCTTTATTTGTTTGCGCAGCAAGTGCTAGTTATTCCTTGGTGTTTTATTGTAAAAACCAGTGTTTATTTGGTAAAAGAATATTGTTGATAATAGTATTATATCGGATTAGCCTACTGAAATGCATTTTGATGATATTAGCGTCGAAAATAGTGATTTTACCAGCTCTGATGGATCGGAAAGCGATTCAAATTACATTGAAGAATTTGAAAGTAAAAATGACGAAAGTGATAATATTTCTGAAAACGAAGAGGCCGAGGAAATAAATTTTGACATGCCTTGGACTGGGAATGGGATTCCCCGACCACCCTTTAAATTCACGGCAACCAGTGTCGTACAGATAAACAATCTAACTGATATAATAGGCATGTGTTTGATATAATTGTGGAAGAAACAAATAGATATGCTATACAGTTTATTTTGACAAATCACGCAAACATAAAACGACACTCTAGAGTTAGGAAATGGACAGAGAAAAACAGAAATGAAATTAAAACACTACCGGGTTTATTAATTCAACAGGGTTTATGCCCAAAACCAGAATACAAAATGTATATTATAATAATATATTTACCTACCTGTGTAGATTTATAAAATAAATAACATATTGACTTATTACTTATTATTATTATACCCAATATGTTTTAGTTACTTTTTTCTTTTTTATATATATGACGTATATATACGTTTATTTGAAAAAATGCTCGATTACGACGTATATATACGGCCTATTAGTTACGTAATGCACATGACGTATATGTTCGCATCCGGAAAAATAGTGAGCCATCAGAAATGTAACTTTAGCATATTGATATGGCGACTTAAGAGGTTAAACAGTACAAAAAATATATAATTTGATTTTGACTATTATCTTTTTGCCCAAAAATCATTTAATCATTGAAGTATACCTAGTCAGTCTATACAAAACTGTACATAATAAAATAAAAGTCGTTTTAAAAAAAATAATTCCATTTATATTACTTATTTATTAGGAAAAAAAATATGGACCTATATGATATATTTTATGAAAATGTTTAAAAATCAGATATACTTATTTTTAACCCTGCAAATTTAATATTTTGTAAAATAATAATTTACGGTATTAAAGTGACAGAATATAACGTCCTGAATATTAAAAAAAAAATTGTATTTTACAAATACCTAACCAAAAAAAATTTAACTTAAATTTGGCTCTTTCTAGCACTTCCACGTATGTGCTTTCTAGATTAGGTGGCCCCATCTAGCTTTTGGAGAGTAAAGTTTAAAAAGTATAAATTAAAATGCTGTAGTTTAACTCATCTATTTTTAAAGTTTTCTGTGATTAAATGACAACTTGAGTTGTCAAAAGATATCTTTAATATTATTTAGGAATTATGAATATAACCTATTTATTTATTTATATGTAATTTTTACGACTGACGAGACTTATTTTATTTATGTTAATATTGTAAGTACATTTTTTTAATATTAAATTTATTTGAAAATACAATAATAGTTAAATACATATAGGTATACCTATTTTTGTAGATAGGTAGGTACATTTTTCTTTATCTGCACATATTTTATATGTGTTTATTTTAAACCGATAGGATTGGAAATTTCAAGGCAAAATAATAAAAATTTTAAGAAGCCGCATATTTAATATAAATATTAAATTAGTAAACTTAGTACGTACTACTTGATTCTTAATTAAAAACTACAAAAATGAAATAAAATGGTTTTGTATTTAATTACCTACATTGTTAATTAATTAGCTTCATAAAAGGTAGTTTTTATTAATTTATTGGTTTAATATTAATAAAACTGTAAAATAAATTAAATTAGGTATATTTACTAAATGCTTAAGCATATTTTAAATTTATTTGGATATTTTAACTTAAAAAAAACTTAAAAATAGATCAATAAATAGGTACCTTTTTGATTTTTTATCTATTTCCATTTTCAGAACATCCTGAGGACCTATACTTGTATTTATTAATAATTATCTATTTAATTACTATTGGCATTTATTTCATTATATCTATGACATCAACTTAAATAATAATAAACCAAGTACTATTTGTTTAAGATATCGCAATTTTAATATTTGTCACAACTTTACCACTTTAGTTACAAAAGTAAAAATGTCTCGCCCAACGGTGTTAATGTCCTCTCCAACCATACCAAAAATTGCCTTTGACTTATTGGAAACAAGGTAAAAGTTTTTGCATATTTATTAAATTACGCTGTATTTTTTTAAATACCGAAAGTAAAAAAACTGGCTTTATAACTGGACTTTGATATAAGCAACTAAACCATGTTTTAGATGTAATTTGGTGAGAACCACAACCGACTCCAAAAATGAAATTCTGGAAAAAGTTAAAGGCGTTGACGCTATTTTTTGGGCATCACATCTACCACTAAATAAAGAAGTATTGGAAAATGCTGGTTAAAAATTAATTATTATCAAAAATACAGAACACTTAATCTAAAATAATACGTTTTTTAGGTTCTCAGATGAAAACCATTGGTACAATGTCTGCTGGATTCAATCACATTGATATAGGAGAGTTGAAAAGCAGGGGAATCAAATTGGGGAATACCCCAGAAGTTTTGAATGATGGTGTTGCAGATGTGGCTGTTCTTTTAGCTTTGGGAGCTTCCAGAAGATTGCAAGAAGGAAGATTGAAAATAGAAAAGTAGTTTTTTTCGTGCACAATTTTGTTATTTTAAATTATATTCCTTTCAGCAATGAATGGAACTCTCATAACCAATGGATGCTGGGCCAGGACATTTCAGGCTCAACAGTTGGTATCATTGGCCTTGGAGGAATCGGACAAGCAATCGTAAAACGCCTGAAGCCCTTCAACGTCGCCAAATTTATCTACACAGGCCACAAGGAGAAACCGGAGGGCAAAACTCTGGGAGCTCATTTCGTAGACTTGGAAACATTGAATAAGGAAAGCGATTTTATTATTGTGGCTTGCCCGTTAAACGATGAAACTAGAGGAATGATTAACGATGATTTTTTGAGTAAGACCAAGAAGACTGCTGTTCTGGTGAATATTAGTAGGGGTGACGTTGTTAACCAAGAAGCTTTGATAAAGGCTTTGAAGGAAGACAGGCTTTTTGCTGCTGGGTTGGATGTAATGACTCCTGAACCTCTTCCTTCTAACCATGAACTTCTTAAGATGCCGAATGTTGGTAAGTTTCCAACAGTATAAAGAATACTTTTGGTTTGATTATACAAAACGTATTTATAAAAAAATTGAGACTTTAAACCTCCATTTCTTTTTTTTTAGTTCTTATGCCGCATCTAGGTAGCGCCACTAAGAAGACCAGAGATGCGATGGCGGAACTGACAGCTCAAAATATACTGAGAGGATTGGGTGGGGAACCTATGTTAACTCCAGTTTGTTAAATTTATTTGTTTCTTATAAAATAAATATTAATTGAGTGTTTTATTGTCATTTACTGTATTATCCAATAAAAATGTCTATTTTTAAAGTATGTGGTTGAGTTTATCGTAATTCTAATGTTACTATATTGCATAAGGAGGGTAAAAAGGCAATGAATGCGTTCATTGCCTTTCTGGCTTTGCTATGCACGCTTTTTTTAAATACCTTCATCAAAAGATATGAAATACACAAATTAAAACAACCAACGATACAATTTTGACACCTAAGTAATTTTGTAGGTTAGAGTAGATCGCTTGAAGTTGGCTGCAATGAACACGAATAATCACGCGCCGGTACTTAAAATTTAAATTGAAAATTTTGAAATTTTAATTCTTTTATTTAAAAAAAAACAACAATGTTAACTTTAACTTTTAATCATTTTATTTAATTAACTTAATTTAAAATATTTGTATCTACAAATTAACAGGTGAGATCATATTTTCCCCTCCAAGACCCCTCAACATATTATGAGCGGTTAATTCTGCCATTTGTTCCCTAGTTTTCTTTGTAGCACTTCCAATATGAGGTGTCAAAACTAAAAAAAAACTTGTTTTATTATCTTACCCTTAAAAATATTTTGATGGAAAGTTTGGTAGCAAAAGTGCATATTTTTATTTTGATACATACCAACATTCGGTAATTTCAAAAGTTCACTATCTGATGGCAAAGGCTCTGGGGTCATAACATCCAATCCAGCTGCAAATATTTTACCCCTTTTCAGCGCTTTAATGAGATCTTTTTGCACCACTATTTCTCCTCTGGCTATGTTCACCAAAACCGCGGTTTTTTTGGTCTTGCCAAAAAAGTCTTTGTTAATCATTCCTTTAGTTTCATTATTCAAAGGGCAGGAGATAAAAATAAAGTCTGCTTCTTTGTTTAGAGTTTCTAGATCTACCAATTTTGCCTTGAGGGATTTTGCTATAAAAGGCAAAAATAAATATTTTTTTTTATTTTTATGTTACTGTAGGTACCTTCTGGTTTTTCCGAATGTCCAGTATACAAAAACTGTGACACTTCAAAAGGGGCTAATCTTTTTGCTATAGCTTGACCAATTCCCCCAAAACCAATTATACCAACTATGGAACCCGAAATATCAATCCCCAATCTAGTTTGTAGACCATTTTTCCAATTTCCACTAAAAATTACAAAAATAAATAGACAGGGTGACATTAGTAACAGTAGCAAAATATAAAAATCTACCTTTCCATATCTACTCTTCCTTCATGTAACCTTCTTGAAGCTGCCAAAGCCAATAGAACTGCTGTATCAGCAACTGCTGCATTTAAAACACCTGGAGTATTGGCAAATTTGATTCCTTTCAGTTTTAGTGTTTTGGTATCAATGTGATCGTATCCTGCTGACATTGTGCAAACTGTGGTCAAATTTGGACCTATGACAATAAATTTAAAAAAATAGTTTCGGATTTAGAAAATGCACAAATAGAATGAAATTACCAGCTGTATCTATTATTTCTTTATCCAGATGGGTTTTGGTGGCCCAAAAAATTCCATGGACTCCTTGAACTTTTGATAGGATGTGGTTTTTAGATTCTTTCTTGATTAAAATCAAAGCACATCTTAAAGAAATTTTAGCGTTTTTTCAAAATAATATTGTTCATACTTACTTTGATTTTAGAAGTTCTAAAACACTTTCTGGGACAACCGTACTTGCTATAAGAATTTTCGGCTTTTCTTCCGCCCAAGAAAATTTACTTATACTTAAAAGTAAAAAGCAAAGTGTTAAAATATTATCTGAAAAAAATGATAAAACAAAAACTTTTCTTTGGTTTGATCAATTTTTTCTTACATTTTTTAGGGTCCATCATAATAATGTTGTGCACAATCACAAAATTATTTTTAATTAAAAATATTGAAACCAATTTATGATTCGTTATTTACTGACTTGACCTTAAACCTTAGTGATAAAGCTAATAAAATGTATATTTCCGTAGATATATACATATACAGGGTGTCCCAGGACTTGCGCCTCAGAGAAAAAAGGAACGTGCCGAAAGTTATGCGATGTATATATTTTTTAAATTATAATTATAATTTTTTTAAATTATAATTATAATAACTATAGTTGAGGGGACATCTGCAGATTAATCTATTTGTTTAGGGATATTACAATATTACCTTAAAATTAAAAAAAAAAGAAAACGTTTTTTAGAGCAAAAAAATGGGTTTTTAACAATAAAACTCTCTTAATTGAAAAGCTTAGGAACTTTCTAAGAAAGAAAATTTGTTTGCTACAATAGTATATTATATATTAAGTTTGATAAACGCCATTAATTTAAGCACTCGCTCGCATGCTCGCATACTTTACTTTTTCTACGACAAATACTTATTATTATCTTAAAATTATTTAAATCAAAAATTTGTATATAGCGCCATCTATGAAACAATAGGGGAATCTGTGTGTCACCGTCAAATGTCACATTTTATAAACACAGATTATAAAAGTTATAAATCGAAATGTATTTCTTGAAAATTGACAGTTTTTCACAGTGAAAGTAAAGAAAATGTTTTATGAGGACTTTATAGTGGAGTCCGTGGCCGAATTTTAGTTTACTGCCGGCGAAATTAAAAGGTCAGTACAATGTTCATATAAACTTTTCAAATATTGGCGTTAAGAAACTATTTAATACTTTTGTATTTTTGTATTAAGATAATAAAATAATTTTCACATTTAGTATTATTTTACAAGAAAGGCACTTTATTTTAACGATTGTATGACATTTGACAACTGTCAACTAACTTAAAACTAACTTCAGCCCGTGACTAAAAACCTGTTGCCAACTTCAGCCCGTGACTAAAGCGCCATAAAGCCACAACTTGTCGTGTATTTAAAAGGTCACTTAGTGTCATGAAAACATGTACGACAAAGGGCGTTTTAAAGGTGGGTGTAGAAAAAAGCATATATGCTTTTTTCTACATAGTATATATGCTATTGATCTAACCATATTTTATTTTGATTTTAGAGTAAATATCTCTTGGTTCAATAGTATGTATTGCTTTATTTAAAAGCTTCTGATTTTCACTGAAACTACCAGCGTTGTTAAAATTTAAGCTTAAATTCCCCTCACCACATAGGCCTTTTGATTTGAATTATTAAAACATGCATTTAACAATTAAAATCAAGGACCTTCGTAGTGAAGGGAGTTCAAGCCTAAATTTTGGCATCGTTGAAAACTAGAAGATTGACTGAAAAAAAAATTAAATCAAATAAGACATTTATTGTTTTTTTATATATAATAGTATACTAACACCAATAAACTAACATAAACATAATTTAACATACAATTTTTATTACAATTTTAATCAATTTAAAAACATTAAACAAATTAATTGAATTTTATTTATTTTAAAAGAGTTGTAATGATTCCAACTCCACTGTGAAAATAGTTAAATACAACACGCCACAACACAACACAACCGGCAAAATGTAGAAATACCTATTATAATAATAGAATTATAATATTATATCACTGCCCCTAGAAAATGGCGAATTGTAAGTTGCAACTTGCAATGATTCAAAACGTACTAAACAAGTGTGCCGCAAACTGTGTGCGCGTTTTGTATCCCCTCCCATGTAACAGAAGCTACCAGATTTTGTTAGAAAATTGACATGCTACTGGGATAATTCTGATGTACCTTGAATGAATTGCGTACCTAATTATAAATAATTTTCATGGATTTTGAACAAAAACACTTTGCACTTGGTTCAAAGAAGAAACATTCGAGAGATTTTGAATATGTTTTCAAGAGAACTATATTTCTTCCACTAAGAACTTTTTTCTTCAAGCAATAAATACTCTTTTATGCTAAAACATTGTTTCTTGCCGCTAATAATTTTTTATCAAGAGAGTTGACTACTTTAGTTTAAGTGCACCTTTTTTCAGTGTTGGATACTTGAGGAGGTCCATTCCAAAACTCGGCTTATCCATATTAGTTGTTTTTGAGCAAAATGCCAAAAACCTTACATGTGAGTACTAACACATATCAGGCCAACAAAATATTTTAAACGAAATATATAGGCATAAGTAAAACATTTATATACCTACCTTGATTAAAAAGGTATAGCTCCAATTTAAAATAATTTAAAATTATATGCGTATATGCCGAGTTCTGCATGATATAACCAATAGAAAAGGCAACTTTTGGAACAATAGTCAATTAGTAAATGAATTTTAAATGGAATAATGTGGTTTAGGAAGGTGAGTTTTAGAATATTATGAACTTTTAAGGGTATATAGGGGGATACATGTTAAATGTACAGACACAACTAACTCATTTTTATTAAAAAGTGGATAAGCCGAGTTTTGGAATGGACCTCCTCACTTAGGATGCCTTTTATTAGGTAAAATATTTGGTCGACTGAAATCCATTTCATTGTGACACTGCTGTCAATTTTTGTTCCTGTCATTATTTATCATTTTTTCTCCTCTGTTTATGCCGAAATAATTAATATTTATGGGGAGTATGGGCGCAGTGCTAGGAATGCAGCATGTTTTATCCCAGCGCTTTTCCGATCGTCCCCTGGACTGTAAAGTTGATCTGCGTTGTAACGAAATTGAAGATGCTCCATAACGTGGTAAATTCTCATATAACTTGTTTCGATGCTGTATCCACTTATTTTTGTGAAAACTAATTCTCGCTCAAGGTTTTTTTTAGTGTAATGAGCAAGTAGCATTTTAAGGTAATGGGAACTTAAATTATGACAACCCTAATCTATTAATTTTTTCCTAAAATGCAGGCTTTATGTTGCAAATGTCACATAAGTTACCGGTCACCAACTGCAATATCCTAACATTGATTAATATTTTAACAAAATGGCTGTTGAAATAACTAATGTTAGTGCTTGATTAACTCAAAATAGACTTAATTAAGATTGACGAAAAATTCTTTTATCCGAAATCGGCAGTAAAGTAGAACTTTACTGCCGATTTATTTTAATTTACGATTGTTGACTACTTTACTGCCGATTTCGGATAAAATAATTTTTTGTCAATCTTAAGTCTATTTTTAGTTAATCAAGCACTAACATTAGTTGTTTGAATGGTCATTTTGTTGAAATATTCATCGATGTTAGGATATTGCAGTTGGTGACCGGTAACTTATGTGACATTTGCAACATAAAGCCTGCATTTTAGGAAAAAATTAATAGATTAGGGTTGTCATAATTTAAGTTCCCATTACCTTGAAATGCTACATGCTTATTACACTAAAAAAAACCTTGAGCGAGAATTAGTTTTCACAAAAATAAGTGGATACAGCATCGGAACAAGTTATATGAGAATTGACCACGTATTAGAAGTGGCGGCTCGTAGGTTCTGGAAAAGGGTGGGCACAAAAAAATTTCCTACTAATTTTTGTACATAAAGTCCATTCTCCTATTTTTCATGCGAGAAACTGAATTTTCGTCTCTGCAATGTGTTTTAAATCATCTAACCCATGTTTATTCATAGAACGTATTTTTTTTTTTGAAAATTAAGCACTTAAAACCAAAAATCTTATTGGTTACTGAACAGCCGCATATCCACTCGTATTTTTCATAGATATTTCTGTTGAATACTCTATTATAAGTTCGGCCTTTACCTGTGGAAATGTAGTGTATTCGAATATCGGGAATATGTCTTCCTTTTTCTTAATTAAAAGTTTATCTTCAAGTGACTTCGGGCTTTTTAAAAGATTTTGCACACATCTTACTTCCGCTGGTGCCATTATTGTTAATAAAAAATGAAGTTTATTTAAAAAACAAAATACGTAATTTACTTAAAACTTAAAAAACACAACGGCGCGCGGCGACAAAAAAGTTAGAAATCAAACAAACTGACATAGATAACAGCTGAGCTGTTGAAAAGACACTGCGTTCGGTGCCCCAAATTGACGATATATTCGCGTACTGACTCAGTACTACTGAGAGGATAACCGAAGATCACCGAATCATACTCGGAATAGGTACATTTCAAACTATGCCGCAGCGCGCTGAAGAGTTGCGGAAAAAAGGTTTAAATTCAACCGTTTGAGCGGACGGAAGGAAGGTTTGAGACCATCCTTAAAAGGTAATTACAATGGTGTTACGTATAACTAAAATAATGCACAATGCAACACATAACTTTTATTACTTTTTATCTGGGCGGTTGGGTGGGCACGTGCCCTTGTGCCCTTTAGAACCAGCCGCAACTGCGTATTAGAACAGCGTAAAATAAAGAAGCTATTTTCAATGCCTTTGATGCAAATAGTAAGAAGGGCATAAGGGAAGTTGAACGCGAATTTCCCGTTCACAGTTCAGCGGGTTTTGAAGGTTCATTTTACGCGAAAGCAGCACCTGCAGCCTAGAGTGGAATTCTGTAGTGGTTGCTAGGGATTTTGGCTCTGGGGTACAGAACTTCTTTTTTAATTTTTACTTTAAAACATTGGCGTCCTGAACTATTACATTTCTTTTTGAAAGGTTTGTAAACACAGTCGGCCAAAAGATTTTTAAAAGTTTTAAGACAAAAATGTTCTATCGTCTCCAAGAAATTTTTAAAGCTTCTACGTTTAACCTAGGCGAGAGCTCTCGGTATTGGCTGCGGCTTTTTTGCTCTTATTCGATTACACTATTATCAAGAAATTTTTTATCGAGTAGGGATAAGAAATTAGTTTATTATTTAATACTTACCGTTTACTAACAATAGGGAGTTTAGAATATAATTTAGACGCTATTTTTACGAGGATCATAGCAAATCCTTATTTGACAACGAACAAATAAAAACTAACAAAATATATTTCATTTATTATATTTTTTTACTATTTATAGTTGTACAGGGGTAAACATTTCAGCCCCACCCAATCCTCTCAGAATATTTTGGGATGTTAAA